CTCAAAGCATCTATTAAGATAAATGTTTAAGAGTACAGGAGGAAGGGAAAATTCCTCTGAAACTGTTAAAAATCCCATAAGGTATGAATATTCCTACAGAATTCAGCATGAACAAATTTGTATAAAAGACTATAAAGTTGTAGCTATTTCAAGGATAGTGCTAAAAGAAGAACTATTATGGATAAAATTAAAATAATCTTAGCTAGATACTTCTGCCTAGAAAAGTAATATAAAGTGAAGTGTTCATTCTTTTAAGAGTGTAGTAAAAATTCTTTCTTGGCTGAGAAACTATGGGGGTACTTAGTCCATAAACATACTGTTATCTTTGCTAATTTTGTCTCTCTCCTTTAGTCATGAGGAACAAAGACTTGTGATCATGTTTGGTAATGTCAGAAAGTCAAATCAAACTCATCCTTGTGCCTAATAGGAAGGAGTTGTAAACGAAATTGCCTTTGTCATGATGAGATAGGTGTAGGAGTCAACAAGCAGGCCTGATCACATAATTAATTAAACAGGCAGTCCAGGTATCATATATCAGAAGAATAGTCAGAATTTTAAAAAGAGAAAGAGAGGTAGAAGAAAAGTTTGGAAAAGTCAGCTAAGGCAGCTATAATCAAGCATGTACTATAAGATCAAACATGGAATTTCTTTCTTGGAGTGCCAGCAGAAGAAGCCTTTGTTCATATAAGCCTTATTCCCATATTAATTCGTAGCAGCCAATAGCTATGATTTTTTGGTTACTTTTTTCTGAGTGCTATTTTAAGTGCTTTATATGTCTTGGTCAATTTAATCCTCACAACTAACCTATGAAGTACATAGTATTTTCCTCACTGTGGAGAGGATGAAACTGAGGCATAAAGGATTCATCACTTGCCTAATGTCACACAGCTAGTAAGTGGAGAAGCTGGGATTTTAATTCAGGAGGCTGTCTACAGAGTCCTTTACACTGCTAACCACCATGCTAGATCATCCCTTACATATAGACTATGCTTTTGACTATCCTGGATCTTTTCTTATTATGATGTCAGAACTTAACAGTAGAATCCTTTGACAATTTGAGAGCTCTTTAATGAACACAGACAGAACCCAGACTCTGTTGTTATGTCAGCATCAACATTAAGAGACCAATACTCTGGGGCTGGGATATAGCTCAGTTGGAAGAGTGCTTGCATCACATGCACAAGGCCCTGTGTTCAATCCCCAGCAGAGAGAGAGAGAGAGAGAGAGAGAGAGAGAGAGAGAGAGAGAGAGAGAAATAGTCTGATGCTCTGAACACCCAAGGTATATTTCTGATTAAACATACAGGAGCCAGCTAGAGTCTGCTTTTGTATAGTATTAAAATCCTACAGAAGTCTTACCCCCAAAGTCTGGCCCTGTAAGTCTTTCAGTATGAGTAAAGGAAGCTTTTAACAACCTGAAATCTATTCATGTTCCAGACTCTGTAACTTTCATAGAAAAACATTAAGCCAGCCATGAACTCTTTCAGGGCCAGATCAATTTAGACATTTTCTCTTAGGTGGTCACATCTTCCATAGAAGCAGCATCTGAATGTCAGGAATGTGTTTCTCATTGGGTTATCCAGATAGAGGATACTACATGTATGAAAGCCCTAAAAGAAAAATTCCAGATCCAGTATGACTAGAACATTTGGCAAGATTGAGAGTGGTATGTTAATAAACTGGAAAATACATACTGCACTAGCTATAAACTTTGTAGTCAGGATAGTTGTGCTTGAATTCTGGCTCTGATACTAATTTTGTGGCTTTGAACGAGTTAATAAATCACTCAAAGCCTCAATTTCCTCATTAGTTATTAGGGAAAATAATAGTACCCAACTCACAGGGAAGGTATAAACATGTCATAAGATAATGCATGTGAAGCATTTTGCAGTTGTATTATAGGAAATTATACACTAACACATAGAAACAGACACATCATATATATATATATATATATATATATATATATATATATATATATATAGAGAGAGAGAGAGAGAGAGAGAGAGAGAGAGAGAGAGAGAGAGATGGAAAAAAGCAGAAAGAGACAGAAACCCCATACTGTAGAGTCTTTGAGAACTTTGTAACCTATTATAAGGATTTGAAGTTTTTTCTAGGGTAAATGGAAGATATAAAATATTCTAAGGAGGAGTTTTTTTTTTAACAAAATTAGGTTTGCATTTTAAAATATTATGCTTGCTGCACTGTGGCAATAGGTTTGGATAGAGGGAAGTGTGGATATGGGAAGATCAACTAGAAGCCTGTTAAAATTGTCCAGGGGAATGATGGTGAGGTCTTTTATGAGGGTAGTGACAGAGTGGATAGAGATAAAGATGTGAAACTGGACATATTTTAAATATATTTAGGAAGTAAGAAGGGACAGGTACTGGTGTCAAATTATGTTGTATGGGAACTGAGACTTGATAACTACTTTGTCTCTTCTACTTCCTGCCCCCTCCACCCAGGGGATTAAAGAGAGATGGTTGAAGAAAAGGATCAGTGGTTGACAAATTAGTACAGGATATAAAGAATTTGCAATTATTAGAGTTGATAATTTTAAAAACAGGGTCAAATGATGTAAGAGTAAGGCCAATGCAAATGCTGGGGAGAATGAAATTTACACAAAAAGCAAAAGTATTACTCTTAGATTGGGTGTGAGATATATTGAAACAAGTTATGAATGTGGGACTACTTGTGGATTTGTGTGTTTGCATTTGAAGGGTTTTGTTTGTTATTTAAATTACAAGGTGAGGTCATCTGTGGAGAATGGAGGTGAGTTGGAATGGGACAAACTTCAATGAAAGGTGTCAAATAAGTACCATGTGGAATTGGAGAGTGACGTATTTCATTGTCAGATTTTGGAGAGTGTTAATTGCCCACTTGACCTGAAAGTCATGGATCTACAGTGTTATTCATCTGCTCCTATCCTTACAGTTCTTTCATTAGCCTATTATTTTCCAGCCTTATCATTGACCTATTGACCTGTTAAGACCTATGCCCCAGAATATCTGTGACAAAATACTTTCAACTATAATTTCTTCCTCTTGTTTATGACATTTAAGAGCCTCTATGTTCTTTGAATATACTTCCCCCAAATCACTTTGATAGGCCTTTTCTCTCAATTCTTATCCATTGGTTCAGTTATTGAGTCCATTATCTCTGACTTCTAACTGGTTTCCTGACTCCCATATTGTATCCCTTCAACTGTCACAGTCATCAAAGTGTTCATCTAAAATATAATATCTGACCATGATTGTGTAAAACTTTTCAATGGAGCTTTCTATGGTCTGAGCATATCCTCCATAGATTAAAATGCTGGAGGTTTGTGCTGGGGTTATGGCTCAGTGGTAGAGTGCTTGCCTAGCATGTGTGAGGCTCTGGGTTTGATTCTCAACACCACATAAAAATAAATTTTAAAAAACTAAAGATCTATTGACAACTAAAAAATATTTTTTAACAATGCTGGAGGTTTGACCTTCAGTGTGGTAGTATAAAGGTGGTGAAATCTTTAAGAGGTAGGGTCCAGTGGAAGGTGGTAGGTCATATAAGATGGTATTTAGAAGGGATTAGTGCCACTCTCATAGAGTATATTAGTCCTTCAAGAATGATTTGTTATAAGAATAACAAGCCTGGCCCTTCCCCAGCCTCTGGATTCTTGCATCACCATGTGATTTCTCATTCTTGCACATGCTTTCATCACAATGGCATTAAACAGGTTGTGATGTTAGAAGATCCTTATCAGAGCTTAGTAGATTAGGGGGCCATACTCTAAAGCCTCCACAACTGTGACCAAATAAACCTCTTTTCTTTATAAAGTATCTAGTGTCACAAAACAGATTATTACAGAACTCTATCACTACTAATATTTAGTCTAATTTCCTTAATATGGCATATAAGACCCTCCAGAACTAGTCTTTGCCACTTCCTCAGCCTCACCGCTTATCTTATTCCCTTTTCCACTTTTATGCTGCAACAGTTTTTATAATTGCCTTCATACTCCATTTTGTTTTTCACCTCTATTCTCTCTGTGTACTCACTCTCTTTGTCTCAAAACCCTCATAAAGCCAACTCCTACTCATTTTCTTGCAACAGCTTAAGCATCACTTAATTAAAATGGTCTTCTTCCTCCACCTTTATCTTTATACTTCTTCCTATTATTAGTTAGTCTTTGATTTCCTAGGTTCTTATATACATCTTTATCATTGCATTGGCCACACTGTGTGACCAATAATTGATATTTGTCTTTGTCTCTTCTACCAATCTAATCTCTAGGGACTATCTCAGATTCATCTTTGTACCTTAGTAACTTACCAGTCCTTGGTACTTAGTTGGCATGATAAGTGCTAACTAATGAAAGGAAGGATAAAAGGGGACAACAATAATAAAAGAAGAAAGGAAATATTGGAGGGAGGAACCCAGATCTTGGAATCATTCTTTGAAACACTCAGTTTATAGAAATCATTTATCCATTCTTATTTTAATTTTCAGGAATTAATTTATAATCAAATTGCATATTTCAAATATAATTCATTAGTTATATACTGATGCTTTGATGAAGTTCTTGAGATTTATTCCATAACTGTAATTTACAAAAGTACTCAGTATTTTTTGTAATTTGCAATCAATATATTATGCATCTCACTGAGCACTTTACAAAGTTACATATCATGAATCAGTAAACAAGTATTATGTCAAATTTTGGAGGTAACATGGATCTGCTATAACAGGTAAGTTATTGATGTTGGATATTGGAGATGAAAATTTTCCTCTGTGAACAGAGGACAGGTAGGAAATGTTCAAGATATAAAGGGAAACACTGATGTAGAAAAAAAAGTAAAGTATTTAGAGCACAGATAAATCATAATATTTTCTTAAGGTGTTACAAGAATACTTTAAAAATGATCAGATGATCATGTATCTTATTGTACATATATATTTTTCTCTACAGGGAACTTAATAGTTGGATTTCATCTGCACACGTCCTATTCTATAAGGAATTACTGGCTCTTCAGAACTTGAATAACCAATGTGTTGTCTCTCTTTTTGAATGTAGCTTGATTTTGGAACTCCTGGTGTAGAAAAATCCTGCAAGAAAATTTAAAATATCAAATGTAATTAAAAGACATTTAATAAAATTCCTGTTCTTGTTTAGATATGATTATGTTTTGGGAAATCAGGCTTATATTATTTGAGTTAATTTAGAAATCTGTTTAATCATTTTTAGAAATTTGTAGTGATTTAAAATAACACATAAAATATTTTCCTTTACTAAGTGAATTCTTGGCTACTTTTAAATAACCGTTAAACACTACACTTGTAACACAATTTTTCCAGACTGATTTAGATATCGTGTAATCCAAATTCTCAGTACTAAAGTACGAAATTAATATTACAGGAGAAAATGTACATAAGAAAAACAACTATTTCTTTTTTTCTGAATATTATGTTACCAAAGTTCATAGTCAAAATACTGCACAAGGATGAATAGGAGCATAGTATTATGTCAAAACTAATATTTTTTTGTTTTATGAATTATCACATTTTTCCTTTTTGTACAGTTTTGTACACAAATTTCTAATTATATGGTTGTTTTTACAACACTTATTATTTCTATCATACAACCAACATTTTATCACTGCTATAGAATTATTTTATGATAGTTTCATACTCAAACTTCATTTTCCTCAGCATAACATCTTATTTTCTAATAATTAAAAATCTCTAATCATGAATGTACTTTTTTTTTATTACAGAGACCCTAAGAAAGTGCCCTTGAGCATCTAAATTATCATTTTAAGACAGAACTGAGAAAGTATGAATACTGTAGGCTCTTACTGTGAGACTTCTCTATTTTTACTAGGAAACTTTCTGGTAACCTTCCTCTGTACGAGAATAACTCAAATATTATATATATGCATGCACACGCATGTGCATAAACACACACACACACACACTCACACACACACACACATCCATCCATACACACACCATCACTTTGTGGTAAGGCACTGTGCATGACATTCAGGATGCAAGAATAAAAATAAAAGATTTTCCCTAATCTAGAGGAATTCAAAGTCAAGTGAGAGGCATAGATCAATAGAAAAAAGATAAATAATTATGTTACCTTAGTAAAAGAATAAAGGCAACAACACAGAACTGATGGGAAGGTAGAAGAGAGAGCACTACCTCTGATTAGAGATTTGGGGAAAGGCTTCATGTAGAATATGATATTCAAGTAGGTATTTTAGGATGACTCAGTTTTTTTTTTTCAGAAAATGAGTCATAAATGCTCAGTAACCACATACTTGGAAAACAGTAGGTTAGGTATGGCCAAATCAATAGTGCATAAGCCCAAGAGTAACAAGAGATAAATCTGGAGAGCTGTAAAGATAAGAGGGGCTAGAATATGAACAGCCTTTTATGCTTTCTTCAGGAGTTTTTACTTTGACCTATAAGCAGTAAGGATCAAGTAAGGTCTTTTATGCTGTCATGATAAGATCAGATTTGTTTTAAGGATGGTCATGTTGGCAACAGTGTGATATTTAAGCCTGAAATAGAAGAGACAGGTGTCAGAGTAGTTAGCAATAATTTAGAAGGGGGATAATGAAGACCTGAATTATGTCAGTGGCAGAGGAAATGGATTTTTCCAGGATTGAGGAGATTCCTGGGAGGTAGGACTTTCAATTTTAAAACCTAGATCATCCCAATAAAACTGTGATATGTTGGTCACTTGAGATTTAGGACAAAAATCCCATGTGACTTTGTGTATGGTTAGATTTAGGGAGACCGATAAGGAAAAAAGGGCTTCCTTGTGTTCAGGCTTAAATGAGTAGATAAATTATGCCAGTCACTGAGATAACAGTGTATGGCAGAGGATGAAGGGGGGGGGTGTTGAAGGGATAATGGCTTCTGCCTTTAAGAGCCCTGCTAGAAATATAAATGAACAGCTATCCCTTAGGCTAATAGAATCACTGGTCTATATCTAGAGAGACTTTTATGAGGTGAAATTAGATTTGAAATTTACCAACAAGATGGAACCCTGGAAAATAACAACATTTAAGCTGTAAACAGGGTTGAAGTGTTTCTGAAAATGTTTGGGGAATTATAGTCAGAGAGGCAGGCAGATCATCAGGAAAGAAGTATCCTGGAAGATGAAGGAAGAGTTCAAGAATCAGTGAGTACCAAGTGCTGCTGGTGAGGTCAGGAGTGGCAAAATCTTGATATAGGTTTTTGTATCTAACAACTATAGTACACTCAGACACCAATTTTAATAATATGGTTTAAGAATGCTGAGACTGCTTTCCATATAATCTTTAAACCACAATACAGTGAGTGAGAGATTTCTTGAGTAGAAGAAAGTTTTTCAAGTTATTAGCAGAGAGGGAGATGAAATTTTTCTTCAGATATTTTCTAAGGAGCTCTGGCCACATTCTTTCTTGTCATGTGCACACTATCTTCTCCTCATTAATATCTGCATCACTTCAACTTTTGTTCTTTCCTTGTTTTTCACTGCTAATGCTTCCTCTACTTCTTGGAAATTATTTTTTTAATAATTCAAAAAAGAAATTTATTAAATTATAAAATGGATTCAAAAGAACTGAAGATTATTAAAAGACAAACTTTTTAATATAAAGATTAGTTAAGATAAGTAAAGGTGTCATAGTACAGTTAATTGGAGGTCAAGTTGAGAGATACTTCCTTCTCTTCCTGGTGCATTTCCTAGCTCAGACCAAAGCTCCTGGCCTCTCGCTGTGCTACTTGTCAAAGGCTGAACCTTCCTGAGGCTGGGGAATTGCAACAGAACCTTTGGCTCTCTGCCCCTTGAAGGGACCCACCATGACTCTTGGCCCCAGGCACTCTTGTAGCTTCATGAACTCATTCCTGCACCAAAAACCCAACTAACACATTAAATTAAAAATCWTATTCTTTCACAATAGTTTTAAGACAATATGTTAATATTATATATAAGATGTTATATTAGGCATGAAAGTCATTTTTTCTTTCTGTTTTAAAGAAATTAAAATAATTGTTTAGCCCCCTAGTGTATTATAAGGCCCTAGGTGCTTTGCCTAGTGGGTGGGTGAGCCCTRCATGGTATCTACTAATTTCCGTTAGCAGCAGCTGGGGCTCTATCTCTAGAGGGGCCAAATTATGAACCCCTCCAAAGCAGAATTCAGCCTGACTGTGTGGTTAAGATGCAACTTTGTAAAGAAGTCTAAAAATTTGTGTACATTCTTAGATTCCCAATGATAAAAACTACCCCTCCTTGGATCATTGTGACAGTAAAAACCCACATTGTGGCTTCTTTGTCTTTTTTTTTTACAATATCTTTATTCTGTTTTATTTGCTTTTTTTATTGGTTGTTCAAAACCTTACAAAGCTCTTGACATATCATATTTCAAACATTAGTTTCAAGTGAGTTATGAACTCCCATTTTTACCCCAAATACAGATTGCAGAATCACATCTTACCAATACTTTTTGACTGAGATAGCCAAGAAAGACAGCTACGGCTGACGTCATCCCTTTTGAGTCTCGTATCCACCTCTTTTATCATCATTGCTTTTCACTCACTCCCTTCCTTCCTTCCTTCCTTCCTTCCTTCCTTCCTTCCTTCCTTCCTTCCTTCCTTCCTTTTTGTTACCAGGGAATTATCCCAGGGGACCCTAACCACTTAGCCATACCCCCAGCCCCCTTTTGTATATTTTATTTAGAGGCATGATCTCACTGAGTTTCTTAGGGCCTCTCTAAGTTGCTGAGGCTGGCTTTGAAAGTCATTCTCCTGCCTCAACTTCCCAGGCTGCTCTTAGAAGTTATAATTGAGTATAATGATGATATAGACAACACACTGCAGGTAATTGCACTAATCTATGTAATTGTTATTCAAGATTGTTGTTTATTCTCAGTATCTTCTGGGCTTTTATTTTATAGCACTCATCACAATTTGTAATTCTATACATGTTTACTTGTTTAATATCTGTTTTCCCCACCAAATTATAGCTCCCTGGGGGTAGGGACAGAACCCATTTTTTTTTATCGTTAACTACCACAGTGCCTGGCACATTTGGTTCAACCAATTGGTTGAATAATTGATAATGTGATGTTAGTCAATAATCTGTCTGTCCCAGACTTCCTATAATCCCATAACCTTCAAGGATCATCATTTTTCCCCTCTTCACCATGGCTTCCAAAAAAATCCCCAATTATTCCTTTTCAGTTTCCTTTAAAAGGTAAGTTGCTATTATCTAGGTACACCTTAATGAATGACCCTCCCAGGAGTTGTATCCTTGTATAACTTCCTCCATTCCTTGAGTGTGAGAAGAACCTGCGTCTTTCTTTTAGCAGCAGAAGAAAGAGTATAAATGAGATAGCTACTCTCTTGACTAGGTTCCATTCTTTAAGATTCCATCCTATAAGGATGGAGCTAGATATTCTGCTGGCCTTCAAAAAATAAGGGGCAATGTTGTGAGAAGGTCTGTCAGAGGGCCACATGGTAACTGCAGGTGGCCTCTAGGAACTGACAGTTGCTCATAGCTGACAGCAAGGAATAGTGGGGTGGGTGGAGAGGAAATAATATTCTGCAGCTGCAAGAAAGTGGATGCTGCCAACAAATATGTGAACCTGGAAGAGGATCCAAACTGTAGATGAGAAGGAAGCCTGTCTAATACCTCAACTGCAGCCTTTTGAGATCCTGAATAGTGGACCTATGTGCCCTCCTGATCCATAGAAACCGAGAAAATAAAGGTGTTTAAATTGCTAAGTGTGTGGGAACTTGTTATGCAGCAATAGAGAATTAATACACAAATCAAAACTGATCCTGAAGCCTTGGACATTCAAACCCAGCCAGTTTCCCCTCTGTATTATCAATATTAACCTTTCCTCTTTTCTTACTTGGGCTTTCTCTTCTTGAATTTCCATACATATTGACCTAAATGAATTCAGTACAATTGTCCCTCATTTCCTTTTCTTTCAGAATTTCATATATCCCTTAAGTATTCACAGATTTTTTCCCAGTTCCATCACTGCTCCACATATTTTATTCTAAAATGTGCTAGAGCACAGTAGTAAATCAGTTTTTGTTCAATCATACATTTAGCATTTTTGTCTTCTTGAATAATTAAAATCATTAAAACTCCACATTTGCATTTTCATGATTTAGTGCTCTGAGGTTATTCTTCAATTTACAATGAATTTTTTTCAGAGAATGTTTCTTTGCTATCGTCAACCAAAAATTAACCTCCCCCCCTCAAAATCCAGTTAATTATATTGACAAACATCAGGTATTCATTTTTGGTGAACTAGTTCTTTTTTTCTATATTTTGTATCATTTGTTAAGAAAATTTGTAAAAATAATTTTCAGATAATTATCTACCTTACTGTTTTTCTCTGATTGCTGTTTTTAAACACTTCTACAAAGAAACCCAGTTTGTACTTTGTGTTAATATGTCGTATAACTGGTGATCAGCAGTTAGCTAGTATCCAGCATTAACTTGGGTGATGTACTTCATGATGTACTAAACTACACTAAAACACAAAAAACACAATTGTGTTGTTAAATTATGACTATTTAATAACTATAGTAGCATAAGGCCAGTTTCACCTCTGAGTCAGTCTCATGAGATTCAAGTAGTCTTTCTTCTTTGATCTCAAATATCCTTTTAAAGATTGTAAATGTATTTTATATAATACTTTTATATAAATCATTTATGAATATATTGCATATATCTACACATATACTAATACATATTATATTATATATATAATATCTTTGATTCATTTTTTGAATCTTATTTTAATAAATGACAGAGTAGTTTTAGTTTGTCATATAAAGTAAACATCACAAACCCATATTTGAATCAATTCTGTCACACACTTTTCTTATAATGAAGTCTTAGCATTCACTGTGATACATGAATTTGCATTACGGCAATAATCATATATAGAAATTGAGATGCATAATACATACGAAGAGTGGCTTCATGTGCATGTTTGAAGAGTATTTGTTCCAATAAACTGCTTCAGGTTTAGCTGGTCCCTGAGAGTCATCCCAATTATGAGATGGATAGTTGTAATGATTGTCCTCTTTGGGCTCATGAATCATAAAGCTGTTTTAAATTAAAGAAAAATATTTTAGGATTTAAAAAAATATTTTAGGATTTTAGAACACTGTTATGGTGAGATATTCTATATGAATCAAATAAATGAAGTCATTCAGAAGTCACATTACACTGCTATAACATGCATAATAAAATAATGACATCCTTATGTAACTGAAAGAACTATACCATTATCCTTTTATTCTTTTGTTAGGGAATATCTCCTATGTCTGTCTCAGAATGTTTGAGAAATTATTTTGGTACTTAGATAAATGAAAAAGGTAAAATTTAGAAAGTCTTAACAAACTAATATTTGTCACAGCTGAATTTTCTTTCAGGAAATGTTTCAAAAGATTATCTTTTATTTGGGCAGAAGCACAGTTATGTACATATTCACAGTTGGAAACATTATTGACTATTCATCTTTCTCTCTGTAACATACCTGTTACTAAAAAGTAAATACATAAATTAAAACTACCCAATAACTTTTTCCCAGAGGAAATACTGTTTATTTTTTTCAGCATTTGTATGTGTTAATTTCCCTTTTAAGGAATAACTTACTTATAATTTCTTCCGGAGAACTGTGATGATGGAGATACAGGACTTCCAGGAAGCACCCCCTGATGGGATAAGCTCCAAGGATTCTGCTCATAGATTTTTTTTAAGAGAAAGACAAATATGTTAGTCAGGGTTTTAAAGAAATTTGAAACACAATATATAAGAGCCTATTTTGATTCTACATGATTATAGCTAAATATTAAGACAGCTCCAGACCTGTTCCTAAAAATAACAAATAAATATAATTTCTGAAACAGATAACATATGTATTATACTGACAACTTTGTAAGCCTCTATTTATTTTGTTCTACCTATCAATCAATTATCATTTTAGGGATGGAAAATGGTTTCCTAAAGAGGAATTCCAAGTAGAAGATACATTTAAGTCACACTCTAAGCAGTAAGTGACCCTTCCAAACAAAAGGATTAAATTTAAATCCAGTTTTCCACTGTTACATTATGAAACAAATTCCAATAGAAAACACAGTTGACAGAAAGTAACTCTTGTAAATAAAAATTTAGGTCAAATTCAGAGCTACAGCATCAAAGGGCCACAGCATACTATACTTTTGTAAGAAAAAAAAGTCTATGCTAATTAATTGTTAAAAACTTAGAATTCAAAGACTATACTTCAAGTAAACATATGAGTAGAGATTGAATTGTAGTAATATGATAATTGAAACAAGAAATTGACATTTTTAAAACATATATGAGACATATAAGAGTGGATCCAGGTCTATACCAAGCGTATTGTTATAGCTACACTAGTTATGTGCAGGTATATAACATTTGTGGTATGGCTATTTTGATGGAGCCCTTTTAAAATTGAGGATAGTTTTACATAGCTATTTTGATATAGTTATTTTAACATTGAAAATTTTTATTTAGCATATAAAATTATCCACCAGACTTTGACTTAAAAAGAAAAAAAATTGAAATTCACATTAAGACCCATCCCTAAGTTTCAGCTCATATCCACAATCACCCTTGAGGATAGGGAATCTTGTATTGATAATATCATCAGGGGATGAGATAGAGAAAGGTTAGTTTTCATGTGGAAAGACCTACTGATACAATCAGGAAGAATGAGACAGACCCAATATTTCTCCATTGTTTAGATATCTTTCTTTTGTCTTTGAGCTTTCCTTTTCTGCTTTGTTTTTGCAATCTTCTTTAAAATAAAATAAAAAACCACAACAAAACAAAAAAAGAAAACCATTACTATTGAAAGTGTGATTTCAATGAAGGTTGGCAAGAAAGCCTCCCTTGTATCTATAGCTAGTCTCTCTGTTATTTGCTCAATGATGTCATAGTGCGTAGAATCAAGGGTTCCTGATCATTCCATGTCTCAAGTCTTAAAGGGGCTACCCTTTTATTCAGGGTGGATCTAATTTCTTTGGTTCATGCTTCTTTCTGTAGTAGGTATATCAGATGAAAAGAAGCCTATCTAAAATTTGGATTTGGGGGCCATAAATGCAGGTTCTTTAGCTTCAACAATGTGGATATTTTGAAGATAAGGATTCCAGAGGAAGAAGTTTCAGCATGTAGAACTGGTGTGTATCTCCTACTTGGTCAAATTTAAAATCTTTAATCCATATCAAACTGTTAATACAACTATGTAGATATAAGAAAAAGTCTTTTTAGGCAAAATTTAAAAGTGGGTAATTATAGAATAAAAGGCAGGACCAGAGTAAAACTTACTTACTTTTTTTGTTTTTTGGGTAGTATTTTTATCCTACCCTGAGGATGGTGGTGATAATAGTTGTGATATACGTGTGGCATTCCACTCTTTTGAGCACATCAGGGTTAAAAAAAAAAAACTACAGTTACTTAAATGGAAATAATTGCTATGGTTTAGATGTGAGGTGCCCCAAAAGCTCATATTAGATAATGCAGAAATGTTCAGAGGTAAATGATTAGATTTTGAGAGTTATAACATAACTAATGGATTAATCCATGCATTGGATTAATAATTTGAATGAATTACTGGGTGGTAACCATAGGCTGGAGGAAGTAGGTCACTGAGGACATGACCTTGGGGATTATATATCTTGTCCCTGGCTCCTCTCTCTCTCCCTGCACCCCCACTCTGCTTTTTGGATGCCAAGAAGCTGAGCATCTTTCTTCCCTTATTACCTTCTGCCATGGTATTCTGCCTCACTTCAGGCCCAAATCATTCAAGTCAGTGAAACATGGACTGAATCCTTTGAAAACTTGAGGCTAAAATAAACTCTTCTTCCTCATTCTTATGAGATATTTTGGTTACAGTGACAAAAGCAAATCAACAAGACAAATTTCTCCAAAATTAGTGACTGTATCACATCTTTGAGGTAGGCTCACCATATCATTTACTGTTCAATCAGAACTCCTAAGGCAGGGAGCTATTAATGTTTAGATAGAAACAATAGGCAGATACTGGGTCTGTCCTGGTCACACTAGTCTGATGTCACTGTTATTGGACATAAAACTGAACCTCCCCATGTTCTTCAAAAACATAACCAATGTAATCTTTATTTCATAAAAAGAAATTTCTCTTCTATATCTTATTTCAGAAATTCTTGATACATCCTATTCAGTATTAATTAACATAATCAGGGATTCTATTGTTTTAGTTCCACAGTAAGTTTGATGCTATGAGAGTGTGAGACAGATAAGTTGAATATAGCATTAAAGCATCAAAAGTTCAATATGATAGTTTCAAAGAACAAATATAAAGCCATGGGGAGGGGTTTGTTAAGGCACAATTTAGGAAAGACTTCAGATTTCCATTTAAATTCATGATCAAAGAAGGAAAACATCATCTGTGAGTTTTGGAAAACTAAAGAAATCAAGAGAAGTTTTTGGAATTCACTGGTAATACAAAGACAAAAAAAAAGGAAGGAAGAAAGAAAAGGTATGCTGGAAGACACAAATACATGTAATCTGTCTAGAAAAGCCAGAACAGGGCCCCATTTATTGGGAGTCAGGGGCCAAGTACTTGCCCTATTCACTCTTTTGAATCCTAGTGAAGTTTTCCCAAATGTTTCAGAATAAAAGCCATACCTAGGAAAGTAATACCTGTAACCAGGATTACTTTCAATCACAGAGGAATAAATCTGAGTTTCTCAGATGAAAGTAAGGTTTTAATTTTATGATTAGACATGTTCATCCTCCAATGTTTCTCATGTACCAATTGCTCAAGCCAAAATCCTTAGTCATCTTTGATTCCTCTTTTCCTTTCATGCTCTATGTTCAATCTATCAGCGTGTTTTATTTGTTCTATTTCTAAAATAGAGTTCCAAGTCTGCTTTCCTCTCTCTGCATTGACACTGTCCTGTTCCAAGGACATTATGTATCTCTGAGAATTCTGTCAGATTTCAAACCCCTCTTCCTGCTTCCAGTTGTGGCTTCCTACAAAACAATCTCTGCACAACATTCTGAATCGTTGCCATCGAGAAAATCCTCTAGTGTGACTTTCCAACTGAAAACAAACAAAACACAAATGTCTTACCATATCCTGCAAAGTCCAAAATAATTCATGTACCTCATCAACATTTCAGACATGCTGAATTACTTTCCTTGAAATAAGAAAACCTGTTTTTTCCCTTAAGGGCTTATGAATTTGGTTTTCTCTCTGTGCAGAAACTTCCTTCTCTAACTTTTCATATATGAAATGGTTTTTCTCAGCCTTTACTTTCAACTCAAATTTAATCAGCTTTAATCTTTAATCAGCTTCCCTAACTTTTCCACTTAATATTACCCACCCCAAAGTCATCATACAACACCCTATTTTATTTATTCATAAAATTTAGCGTAATCTAAAATAATCTTCTTTATTTGCTTATTTATTTACTATATGCTTCCTCTCACTTCTTGAATGTAAGGTCTGTGAGGATAAGACTTAACTTGGATATTGCTATATCTCCAGTGTATAAGACAGTTCTAGGTATATAATAGGCATTTAATATTTTGTTGAATGAATCAGTGAATAATGAAAACCATTGAAAGCATTTTTATGCTAAAGACCAAAGGGAATAACATTGATTACTTTTTTATGAAGTCTGCAATCACTATGCTGGGATCTTCTACTTTAAATATCTGTGAGATTATGCTAAGTGAAGCTAGTCAATCTTTAAAAAACAAATACCAAATGACTCCTTTGATATAAGGGGAGTAAACAAGGACAGGGTAGGGACGAAGAGCTTGAGAAGAAGATTTACATTAAACAGGGATGAGAGGTGGGAGGGAAAGGGAGTGAGAAGGGAAATCGCATGGTAATGGAAGGCGATCCTCAGGGTTATACAAAAATGACATATAAGAGGAAAGGAGGGGTAAGACAAGATAATACAAATGGAAGAAATGATTTACAGTAGAAGGGGTAGAGAGAGAAAAGGGGAAGGGAGGGGAGGGGAGGGGAGGGGGGATAGTAGAGAATAGGACAGACAGCAGAATACATCAGACAAGAGAAAGGCAATATGTCAATCAATGGAAGGGTAACTGATGTGATACAGCAATCTGTATAYGGGGTAAAATTGGGAGTTCATAACCCACTTGAATCAAACTGTGAAATATGATGTATTAAGAACTATGTAATGTTTTGAATGACCAACAATAAAAAAATAAATAAATAAATAAATAAATAAAGGAAAAAAAATAAATAAATATCTGTGAGAATACCAAGCACAAATAGGAGTCATCTGAGCAATACATAGGCATAATAGGAACCAACCTACTGAATATGCAAGATCCTTTGCTAATAATTAAGTGCTGTGTATTTAATATCTGGTGCATTGTTGATCATCCAATCTGGGAATAAGTGGGAAAAAAAGAAATAGAAGAAAGGGAAATAGCTAAATAGTTTTCACCCTATATTCTAGGAGTACTCCAGCAATGAAAAATTATTTCTTTTCTTGATCCTGCTTCAAATAATAATCTTATTTGCCAGAAATAGTGAGTTTAAGTCCCCTTTGAGCTCTTTTGGATCAACTGTGAAAAGAATTTTAACTTTCTCAGTATCATTTATTATATTTCAGATTGGCTCTTTGAAACTCAGAAAAAAAGTTTTTCATTTATCATTGAAAAAGAAAACATGAGGCTGGAGTTGTAG